CCTATTCCCTGCCAGTAATACCCTTCAGTATTCAGCAGCCAGGACTTAGGTTCTGCTTAGGTAGCACTTTGTTGGTTTAGTTACGCTACAAGGCTTCTGCTCCTGCCTCTGTTGTTATAGCCTACAAAATCCTGGTACCAACCTGATAAAACAACTTAATTAAATTACAATAAAAGGAAAGTGAGCTGAATGTGCCTCATGGGAGAGGAGGCCAGAGTTGGAGTCCAGTGATCCCAATTGATGCAGGATGCTTCCTTGTCCTATCTAAAGTCCCTGGGCAGGCTATGGTTCTGGAGTTGTATTTAGAGGTCCTGACAAGTTATCTATCCCCTAAGCTTGTTCTTACTGGTCCCATTCAGGTCCCATGAGGGACCTGTTTAGCTAGATAAACTATCTAAGCCACTGAGTCTCTAGGATTCAGGACTTAGCTTCAGCCAGGGCCTGATTTACAATACCATACGGGAGAAAGACTGGAAATACTAAGACCCATATTCTTGGGAAGCATTCTCTTGACACTCCAAATGGGTTTGTTCTTTTTAAAACAAATAACAGTTTATGAAATTCAATTTATATAACATATAAACTTACCCACTTAAAATATTTTTAGTTTATTCACAGAGTTTTATAATCATCACCATTTTTGAATATTCCAAAGAGAAACCCAATGTCCTTTAGCTACGGTCCCCAAGGTTGCCAGACCTCCCAGCAGTAAGCAACTACCAATTTATTTTCTGTCTCTAGGTGCTTATTCTGGAAATTTGAAATAAATGGACTCACATGACATATACCCTCTTATGACTGGCTTCCATTATTTAGCATAGTACACTCAAAATTGCATGTGTCAATTATAATATTAAAGCATGTGTCAACACTTCATTCCTCTTTAGAGCAAATAATATTACTTCATATGAATATGTTACATTTTAAAGTCCTATACATTTAAGGTGTATGACATGATGTCTCAACATGCCACATTTGGATTATCCATTCAGCAACTGATGGACATTTGAGCTGTTTTTATCTTTTTGGATACTATTATAGATTAAAAACTGGTGGTCAACTAAACACCAGCTGGCTTAAATCAGCATGGTGCTGAGTGTAGATGGCCCACCTGAAGGAAGTTGCCAGCATAGAGACATGGAGAAGAACAGCTGGGCGTTGTGGGTTCTCCGAAGTGTTGCTGTTTCGAGCCCTTGGTTCTCCTGGAGGAGTTTGTCATGGCTAGCTTCCTCGATATGAATTTGGCCATTATAATCAGAGGTGCTTGGAGCCTTGTTGCTGAGAGTGGCTGTGGTTCATTTTGGGGGAGATTTGCTCCTTACATTGAGCACTGTTTCCTGGCTCCAAAGGGGAAGATATATGCTGTTTAATCTCCAGAAGAAGCTTGTCACATTAGCTTCCTGGCATGTACTCCACTGTTCTCATCATTGGAGGAACTCAGGATTTCATTGTTGCTGAGGATGGCTATGGTACTTTTCAGGGTAGTCCAAGTCCTTATTTTGAGTGTGACCTTTCAGCTCCAGTGTAGAACCCTCAAATTACTGGCACAGCTGCTTCAGCCCACTGGCACAGACTTTCTAGCTTCCACCACTGACCTTTGGGCCTTCCCGGTGCAGATCCATAAAACAGACTGGCATGAGGTCCTGTCATGGGCTCTAGACCTCCAGCTGGACTCGAGGGAGGCATTGTCATAGGCTCTGGGTCTTTAGCTGGACTCTTGTAGGACATTGCTGTAGGCCCTTGGCTGAATATTCTAGGTCTTTAGTGTTGTGGACAGATTTCCTGCACTTCTTGTATTTAACTCTGGGTGTCTTATATATAATTGTCCTCCCTGCAACCCCTGACTACAACAGCTACTGTGAATAACGCTGCAAGGATGTGCGTTTTCAATTCTTTGGGTGGAAGAATGTATCTGTTGTTGCGTCTTATTAACAATATCAGTACCAATACTGATGCACAACCTAAAATCTCACTGTAGCCTTTGAATGGTTAAAAAAAAAAATAGGGAGGAAGCTGCTGAAGAAAAACACAGAGAAGCTAATTGTTCTGCCCCTGGACAATTGTGTAAGGGAAGGGAGGAAAAAGTCACAGCTAGCACTCAAGAAAATAAACCATCAAAAACTTTGTAATTTTAAGGGGGAAAAAAGGTATTAGGGCATTTTTGTTTGAAATTTAGGAGAAACATTTTAAATCACCAGTCCATAGTCACATACACCATCATTTTTAACATGACCCGGTTCAAGACCCTGCCTTGGGCTATCTAAGTCCCCCAGCCATGCTCCTCCCACAAGTGGAATTAAGTTTTTTACCTCTCAACTACTCACCAAGGAACTTGTGGCTTTGCTCCTAGAGCCTGAGAGGTGGGGCTGGGTGACATTTTCAGAGACTTCTCTTTAGTCACAGTTGCAGTTTTCAGAACTCTGTGTGTGGGAAATGCAGAGCTAGAGGCACTCTGGTACCATACTGTCTGGGCATTCTGGCCTGCGCAGCACCTGCCATCATATGTGTGTGGCTAAGACTACAGGTGGAGGTTGCTGTGGACATTAGTCAATTGAACCATACAAAATTGTCATCATGTATTCATTTCTGACCTATTAACGTGGCAATTTTGTGGGGCTCATGAGATTCAACCTGCCAGTCTCTGATGTCCCCTTCCCTTCCTCTCCATGGTCAATATCCTAAGCTCTGGGGAACTTTTTCATACCTCCAGCCTACCTAGGTCCAGACTCTGTGCTCTGGGAGGCCTGTCTGCCCTTCCAGTCTAGCTGATCTCCAGCTGCTCAGCTTGGTGGCTGAAGGCATGTGTGGGAAAGACTGGGAGAACATTGAGCTGAGCGTCAGATTTATGCTCAACCTCAGATTCCTCTACTCTCTGCCTGTCTCTGAGTCTTTGAGTCTACACTGGTCTTTGAGTCTACAACTCGCCCCTCCAATACATGCCCTGTGCAAGTACAGATGTGCTCCCCCCACTCTTAACTTCATGTCTTACAGTGACTTTCCATCACGTTGCATATAAAAAGGCTGAATTCCTTGACTTGGTGAGAAAACACAGCTTCATTTCCTGCCATTTGCTTTCTGCTCCAGTGGTGCCTAACTGCTTACAGTTGCTGCTTACAGGTACCTGTGCGCTCACAGCTCAGCTTTTGCACCTGCTCTTCCTCCACCTAGAAGACTCCAGTACAGCCCTCTCTCAGCCACCTTTGCTGACCTCTCAAAACTCTCTTCCAGGAATCTTCCTTAGGTCTCCAGGCTGTGCTAGGAGTCCTTCTTCTGTAATTTCCATTTCCTTGTGCTTCGGTGTTTCTGCCATCAGAGCATTTTAGTCAATTTTTTGCATATCTGAGCCTGTCTGTCTTTCCACAATTGCAGGCTCCTAACACTATCATCTGACTCATCCTTCAACCTCAAATGCTAGAGTAGAAAAATCAACAAGCTCTTATTTAACAGAACTAAGCAGTGGTACTGTGACTCAGTTTCCCTGTTTGTTGGAAAAGGTCTAGAATCTTAGGTCTTACTCCTTTGCCTTCTCTAAGCCACATTTGTTCTGTGGGACAGAAAGGATTGGTTTTAAGGGATCTTCCAGTTGATGTAGTCAAAAGAAACCAAGATATGAAATCTCAACTCTTCCAGAGCCACAAACAGGGATTCGTTGTGGACTCAAGAAAACAGATGGGAGAGGGTTGGCTAAGTGGAAGGTTCCAAGGGCTGCTGAGGATGATTATTTTCTGTCCTTTTTAAAGTTTTATTTTTAACTCAGCTAGTGTTTGCAGCACACCTACGACATTCACGTTAGTATTAGGAACAGGCGCCTGATGCATAGTTGTAAATACCAGCTTCCCTGGAGTCGGTGTGATTGCTGCATTCCCAGCTTATCTAGCAGCGCCTGTTCAACTCCTTCCCCTCTAGCTCTTGGCTCCCACCAATACCCGCGGAGGGCGAAGCTGGTCCACTTCCCCAAATTCGTTGCGGCTGCTCAGCCTGCACTCACCTCTGAGCCTGCGAGTCGCCGAGCAGGTCCTCGGCCCGGGCACCCTCTGGCGGCGGCGCGCGGAAGCTCCGGCCCGGCGGGGAGCAGGCCAGGGGAAAGGGAAGGAGGAGGGAGGAGGAGGAGGAGCGGGTAGGGGAGGAGAGGAAAAAGTTGCGCTGGGAAGTTTGGAAAGTTGGGAAGTGGCTGCTGCGGGCTTCGCCTCCCTCCGCGCGTGTGTGAGGGAGCAAGCGAGGAGCGAGCGAGGAGCGAGCGAGCGCCTGCCATGCCCATCAGACCCCGCCTCGCCGCGTCCGGGCGCAGAGCTCGCCCGGACTCCCAGCGGCCCGGCCCGGCCCGACGCGGCCCGGCGCGGCCCCGGCCCCCCGCCCCCGACGCCGGGCCCTCCCCTCCCCCCATCCCAGCGGCCCCAGCCCCCCGCCCGGCCCAGCTCCGCGCTGCTCTCCCGCCCTCCGCTCTCCCTCCCTCCCGGCCGCGGAGCAGCATGGCGGAGCCCGGGCTGCGGCCGCGCGGCCGCCCGCCGCCCCTCTGACCCGGCGCAGGGGCAACCGGGCGCTCCAGACCCGACCCCCACGCCCCTGCGACCTCCACCGCACTTGTCCCACCGCGCGCCCCCTGGAGCGCCTCGCACCCCTGGGACCCTTGCGCGCCCCGGGTGCCCAGCATAACCCCAGACCCCGTGCACCTTGGGAGCTCGGTGCTGCCCTAGCAACCCCACGTGTCCCAGGACCCCAGCGCAGCTCTGGGACCCCTGCGTGCTCCGGGACCTCTGCGCGCTCTCAGAACCTCGGCGCTTGGCCAACCGGGCTGCGCGCCCTGGTGAGGGGCCCCGCCCCAGAGGGTCCCCTTCTTCCAACAGAACGAGCCCCGCCCTAGGGAGACCCCCAGGTCCAACAGGGACATCCAGCCACGTCCTAGAGGGCTCCCAGCATCTCGCGGCTGGAGCTCCGCGCTCCAAAGGATCCTCCTTACCAGCTGGGGGCTACCCGCCTTGCTGAAGGGGCGCAGCCTAGGAGGGTCCCCCGCTTCCCGCGGGCCCCGGCAGGATGCACGCCGCCCTGGCGGGGCCACTGCTCGCCGCCCTCCTCGCCACCGCCCGCGCCCGCCCGCAGCCCCCGGACGGAGGACAGTGCCGGCCGCCCGGATCGGTGAGCGAGCGCCTGCCCCGCCACTCTCCCGCCCGCGCCCGCTTGGGCACTTCAGTCCGTGGGGCAGTGGTTTGGGTCCTGCCTTTCTCCGCACCTTCTTGGCGCACCCGATCCTTTTCTGCCCTCTGGGCGCAGTTTTGGGCGCACATCTCTTACTTCTGTCTGCCCTGGCTCCAGAGCCCAGATGGGGCGCTCCCTCTCTCCCCTTCTTCTCCACTCGCTGCTGACATTTGGGTTTTCCTCTGGCTTTTGGTCCTGCCTGGACGTTTCCACTCGGTGTGCCTTTTTTGACTCAGTTCTGTCAGATTTTTATCTTGTCTTGACTGTCTGGTCTCTGTCCTCTTCTGTCTGTATCTTCCTACGTTCTTTGCCCTTCTCTTCTCCAGGTTCCATCCAACTCTTTTGCCCTCTCGTTCACACACTGTGCCCCTTCCCAGGCTCCCCTCCCTCTCCCTGCCCTCCTGTTTGGACCCAAAGCACACTTTCTGCTTGGTGCTGGTTCCCTTCCTCTCTCCCTCTGAAGCCCAGGCTCTAGTGGGACTGTCCAAGGTGCCCTTACTTGTTTGAGTGAGTAGGGGGAAACCTCCAGAGGAGAGAAAAAGAGAATGCCAAGACATGTTGGCTTAAAGTTTCCTTGGGGGTTGAGGAATCTGATTGTACTAATTTTCCTTCCAAAGTCAGGAATCCCTTGTTTTTCATTAGTATCCATCCCTTTAAGTATAAGTTAATGCATTGACAATAATCCTGAATTGGAGGTCAGGAGACCAGAAAACTGTTATGGGATCCATGCGCTGTCCTGTTAGCAGGGAATTAGTTGGCTTTGGGCAAGGTGCAGCTACAGCAGCTGACCTTGTGCAGAACGAGGAACTTGTTCACTGTATGGGCCATCGATCTATCTGGAATGTGCTGGGATTCACAACTTTTGCTTGTTAGCAAGGTAGGGAACTCTCCCAGCACCACCACACACCCTGCAACACATATTTTACATTTGTACCAGAATCCAGGAAAAAAAATGTTGAATTCATCTAAAGCTTGCAAGCTGTCACTAGGGACTCCAGAAACTTTCTGGATGGGGAATTGGCTTTGCCTAAGAGAAATGATAGCCCCGTTTTCATACTCCTACTCTGTGGCCCTAATCCGGGTCTGGAAATGTGCTCTTTATCTGCATGCTCCTGCACAGACACATACACACACACTGCATACCACACACACGTGAGGCCGAGTATACATTTGTTTTTTTTTTTTAATGGAGGAGCCTGGAAAGCACCTAGAATAATGTACATTTCTTGAGATTCCCTTCTGTGGTATCCTTGCCTCCCAACCCAGAAATTGAGACTTTACTTGGCTTTGCAGGATTTTAAAGCACTTTCTCATCTATGGTTTCAGCTAGTGGAGCAAAGTAGCTAACACCCCAGACTTGCCCTCCAAGAAGAAAAATGTATCCACTCTGATGAATGGGAAGTAGCTGTTGAAATAGGTGTGCTATTTTTAATAGGTGTTCTGCTTTCAAAGTGCTCTTGGCATGTATCTTCTAATGGTTGGATTTTAAAGTTATACGACTTCCTCTCTTCTTGCCAGAGCAAGATTCTTGGTCCCCCTCTCCCCACTCTCCACACAAAACACCACTGGTGAGGGATTGGCTTGGCCAAGTCTGAATGTTCACAGGTGGTATGGTACAGTGCTTGGCTCTCACAGTGAAAGCTGGTCATAATGAGAGCTTCTCTTCGTTGCCCACTTCCTCTGTGCCTGGTAGTGCCGTGAGGGCTCACTATGTATGCAGCATGTCTTTTAATCCTCCCAGCAGCCCCTGCTCTCACCTCTATTTGAGGAAACTGAGTCTGTGGGAAGTAAAATGATACAGTTCAGCTCTTTCTTCTAAAACACAGCAAAGCCAAGATTCAAATGTGGGTTTTTATCTTCTTTCCCTTCCTCCTACTTGTCCCTATCTGTGCCATCACTGTCGCTCTCCTCTGATGCTTTCAACCTCACTGCCTGGCCTGTTTCTCTCCCCCTGCAGCAGAGGGACCTGAACTCCTTCCTGTGGACTATTCGGCGCCATCCCCCAGCCTACCTGTTTGGCACCATCCACGTCCCTTATACCCGCGTCTGGGACTTCATCCCAGACAACTCCAAGGCAGCCTTCCAGGCAAGTGCCCGTGTCTACTTCGAGCTGGACCTGACGGACCCCTACACTGTCTCGGCACTGGCCAGCTGCCAGCTGCTGCCCCCCGGGGAGAACCTGCAGGATGTGCTGCCTCAGGAGCTCTACTGGCGCTTGAAGCGCCACCTAGACTATGTGAAGTTGATGATGCCTTCCTGGATGACGCCCGCACAGCGGGGCAAAGGGCTGTATGCTGACTACCTGTTCAATGCCATCGCAGGCAACTGGGAGCGCAAGAGGCCTGTGTGGGTGATGCTCATGGTGAACTCGCTCACAGAGACGGATGTGCGCTCCCGGGGCGTGCCTGTGCTGGACCTCTACCTGGCCCAGCAAGCTGAGAAGATGAAGAAGAGCACTGGTGCCGTGGAGCAGGTGGAGGAGCAATGCCATCCACTCAACGGACTCAACTTCTCTCAGGTAGGCAGCAGGTGCCATTCTGGAGCTGGCAGCCTGGAAAGCCTGGCACCTTGCTCTTCTCTGATTATTGTCTTCCTCTTCCAGTAGGCAGCCATGGTCAGGTGCTTTCTCCAAAGTATGAGGTTCTTTCTGGCCCAGGGCACCAGTTGGCTGCTTGGGTAGGAACTGATATGTGTTAGGATTTGAGGTAAGAGTTTAGATGTTTGCTTCTATTTCAGTGGTTTCCTGTTGGGATATACACTCTCCACCTGCTGTGCTTGCCTGAGCAGAAAGAATTTCCCTGGGAGCGTCAGAGTGATCCAAAACAAAAAGGGAGTTGCCAGTCTGTGTCAGGCCTTGCTAGGCCCTGTTGTCTTGGGAGCAGGAGGCTGTCATGAGGCTGTTGTATGGACACATACCCTGGGATGAGGGTATGCAGGAAGAAGCGCAGGGAGGGGTATGGTGTCCGGGCTGGGCTGGTAGAGGAGGTGTCACGAACCTGGCTTCTCTAAGCACCGGCTGGCTGTTTCAAGTTAAACACTGCAGATTCTCTGGGCTTTGATAAGCTCTGCCACCCTCAGACTACCTCTCTAAGACTGGGAGAAAGTTAGCAAGGAGGCTTTGGGGGTTAATAATTTCAGAGAAATGTGTTTGCTTAAAGGTTGACAGTTCTGATTTCTGAACCTCAAGCAAGGGGGCAGGGAAAAGGGAGTGGCTTAAGCAGTTTAAAGTCTCCCGGCTGCCAGAGACTTGAACCAACGAAATGTCATTAAAGGCCTGTCTCTATGGGCAGAGGTCACTCCCAACTCACTGGCCCCAAACTCAACTTAGAGGCCCTGGCAACAATGAGTTCGCATCTGTGCCTTGAGAAGAGGACTGTCAATCCCTGGTGGGGGCTCCCAGGCTAGTGGCTCTCAGGCCCCTGAGTGAGGCCAAATCCTGAGATGTGCATGTTCCCCATTAGGAAGATAGCCCCACAAAATGACCAGGCCTCACTGGAATCAGACCTGCCTGCTGCTCCTGAGATGTTGCAACCTCTTCACCAGGGAAACCGTGGCAGAAACTGATCCCCCTTCCGAGATCTCTGGCCTTTGTTTTTCCAGGGGAAATGCAATATTGTCCCCAGGGAGGTAAGAAGGCAGATTGACTTGCCGGCCAAATGAAAGGCGGGTTTGTCGGTTCTCCTGCTGGCTCTCCCATAATTGTGGAGTCCTTACCCAGAGGGCCCCAGGGGCAGGAATATTGGGGCAGTTAGTCACGCCCCGCAGGGTTCTGACTATGCCTGACTCCTTCTCCACGGGGGAAAATCCTGCGTATTCTCTGGCCTGGTGCTGATTCCTCTGAACATAGCGGCTCGCTCCCTCTGAAGTGACTTTTCCCTTGCCAGGCTCTGGAGCTGATATTATCTGGGGTAGGAGAGTGCTCACCGCCCATCTCATTTTGAAGGCAGGTTTGTGGGGGCCTGTCTGCTCAGAGCCCTCACGTCTGGCCTCCATATCTTTTGGAGGTTGGAGAGGTGGGTGATCCAGCATCACTCTCAACACCCTCTTTGTACCAACCACAGAGGAATCCGACAAGGGCTGAAGGGAGCACTCAAGCTCTCTGGTTAAACAGCCCCTGGCTTTAATCTGTCTCTCTTAAAACAACAAAACTATCTTTCTTCAGGGTCTGGAAATGCTGCTGTTCAACCGAATGAGGGCTCTGGTAGGGTGAAAACATTTGCTGGAAAGTGTATAAGGTTATGTTTTAGGAAAAGTTCTTGAGAACCATTCATTGGCCAACAAGGAGCCCGCTGACAGTCTCCAAACCCCATGTTTGATCATTAAACGGACTCTGATTTCTATTTCAAAAATGCACACACCCCATCACCAGGCTGGGCCCACTCTTCAAATTGTTCTTTGGTCTAACTTCTCAAAAGGGCTGCAGAAAGCAAGCCCTGGACAAAAGAAAACAGGACTCTTCTTGGTTCTCCTTAATCTACAGACCCTTCACCACCTGCCAGAACATCTGACTGCACCAATTTGTCCTGTTATCATTTTGGAGGGAGGTGATGAAATCCCTCTTCCAACCCCTTGGACAGCCTTGGACTAACTGAAAAGGGTGGAATTCCAGAACCTGGTTAGATAGGTTGTTAGGGATCCCAAAACCCAAAGTCAGAAATGCAACAGCCTTCTCAGTAAAACTGCATGTGCGTATGCACTGTTTGATATGAACATCTGTGATACATTATTGTACTGAAATATCTGCTAAGTGCATCAGATTTTTATTTTTTCTTTCCTCGAAGCATTACTATTATTGCAAAATATTTGGGTCGGGGGTAGTGAGAAAGGAAGGCGAAAAGAAGGAGACTTACAATAGTTCTTTTCTGTTAAGGTCTAGGAGTTTAGTTTTAATATTGGTGCTTTAAAATTTATGTATATATATATATATTATATACACATATTTTTTTTTTTCTGGACAGAAGTACCATGTTTTACTCATTAAGCAGAGAAAGAGAATTTAAGTTTAGGACTTTAGAGGCTGGGGGAACCAATGAAGATCTTGGAAGACTGGTAATTGGACAGCTTTCACAACTTCCAAGAGCAGATCTATTGATAAGTTTTGATATTTGATTTTAAATTAAACTGATGGCGCTGGACTCAGCATCACCATGACTTTGCCATGTGACCTTGGGCAAGTCAGTTCCTTTCTCTAGGCTCAGTTTTCTCTGTTTGTGAAATGAGACACCGAGATTAGGTCATCTTTCAAGACTCCTCCAGCCCTGACATTCCATAGGATGATTCTAATCAATTCCACGTGCAGGGCACCCTGCAGGAAGCTCTTTATACATTTCCATTTCATTGAATTCTCACATAGAATGGTTTTCTAAGGTGGGCATGCAGAAATGTTGGATGACTTGCTCAAGGTCATGTGGCTAATGATGAACAGAGCCAGTCTTTTGGATTCTAAATGAAGGATGTGTTTTTCCGGCCGTCTTGTGTTATTTCTCTAGACTTCCTCCTGTCTATGTAGTATCCTTCTGTGATCCTTCTTTTTACTTTCTTCTGTTTTCTGTCTTCTTCTAGGATTGAGGACTTAACATGTTACTTCTTGGCAAACTTGTAGAGAAATTATTTCCTTTGACTGTGAGGCTGGAGTGGGGATGGCAAAAGGAGGTTCTCCAAAGTTCTTCCTGATGTGTAGCAAACTGCTCAGCGTGGTGGGCTGGAGATAGGAGGCTGGTCTGTAGTCTTGGGCAAGACTCAGTGTCTCTATACAGTAGAGCAGTCATTACCAGCTTTCAGAGCTGAGCTGATTTTGGGAGGCCATAGAGTACCTGTGGAAAGCTTTTGAGAGGGTGAGTGCCTACCTACATGTTGCTTCTGTGCTGAGTAAATCGTCTGAGCTGAGTCCAAGGTAGGGGAAAGGAAAGGCACAGGAGAAGCAGACATGTCTTTCCAGCAGCCATATCTGCTGCCCAACCGTTGCTGAACAAACTGAGGCTAGAGTATTAAGAGATGGTGGTGAGCCCCTGCCCTTATGCATCTTGGATGCCTGAGCCTTGAGTCTAAGTCTCATGACATTCTTGGGGCTGCAGATTCCTAGAACTGCCTCTCCCTACTGCCTTGAGGGATTGGTATTGGCTGCACTGCTTCCTCGGGGAGCCTCAGTCCTTCCCAGCTCCATCCCTGTGCAGTGGAGGCACTAGATAAAAAACTGCTCAGTGATGTGGCTCTCCAAAGTATAGTAAGAAATCAAGGACCCTGCAAGCCTGTATTTTGCTGTGTTTAGACCGACATGCTGGTACCACACTCCTGAATGTGTAAAACCTGAGCATTGTGGCATGCCTACCAGGGGTGTCAAAATATTTGTAAAGTTCTACAAGTCCTTTACCAGAGAGGTGGAAACTATGAAATCATTTGTTGGCCTTTATCTTTGTATAGGGTGCTGCATTAGATATTGCACATAAATATTTCCTCTTATCTTCATAGAAACGCTACAAGGTACATTGCTATATCTATTTTAAACACATAAACTGTGTTATATCTATTTTAAACACATAAATGATCTAACCTTGACAAGGTTAGATCATTTGGCTATGATTGCATAGACAGACCAAGTGGATTCTGGGTTCAGGGGTGTCCATTGCTAAAGTCTAAGCTTTTTAAGCATCTGAAATTTTGGTTTCTAATAATCAGATGCCATTATCTGATCAATTGTGTGAGGGGGGTTGGAGCAGGGGGACTGTCTGTATTTCTTGCTGAAAAAAGTATAATGGAGAAGGATAACTGAAAACTGCTAAACCTGACTTTTTCCTTGGTTTATACATTGGTTCTGAATGTAATTCTAAAATTGGAGTTCCCAAAGACATCATTGGCAACAGCTGCCTCCCGGGAGTGTACTGTTTTCCAAGGGACCTCTGTGAAGATCTCCTCAACCCTACCCCCACCTCAGATAGGCTAAACTTGCACAGTTGAATAAAGAAGGGTCTCCTCAGAGCTTTTATATCTATGATATAGATATATAGATATAAAACCAGAGCTTTTATATCTATGAGGCCAGAAAGTATTAGTTAAGTATACAGAAAATATTTGCAGAATGAATGAATGACCATTTGTCAGAAACCATGATGTGACCATCTAGCACTGTTGCATACTACAGTGAGTAGTCTTTTCTTGAACTTTAATAGTTCCATGCATTCTTACAATGGTACAGGATATCAAAATCATCAAACAGGATGCTATAACAAAAATTCCTTACATTAAGTAATTTATAAACAATAGACATTTATTACTCACAGTTCTAGAGTCTGAGCAGTCTACGATCAAAGTGCCAGCAGATGCAGTATCTGGTGAGGGCTTGTTCTTCAAAGTGAGGCTTGTCTATATCTTCACATGGCAGAAGGGGATGATTAACTAACTATCCCAGTCCTTTTTATTGGGGCGCAAATTCATGAGGACTCTGCCCCCAGAGGTCTCCATCTCTCAATACTGTCACCTTGGGTCTAGGTGTCAACCTGTGAACTCTGAGGGACATACATA